GAGGCGCTTCGATCGATCGAATTACCACGTGGATTACGGTTAATATCGATTTAGGAGGATCGCGCGATCCAGCAGCATCCTCGACGTGTTGGATAACGAGGCGGTGCACGCGTCCGCCATGTGGAAAAGCGTAATTGAAGCTGCTGTTGCCGGTACACGGGCTAAGTGACAGGTGAACACCTTATACGCGAAAGGAGGCAAAGGTTCGATGCGACGGCGTCGGTGTTCGCTTTGGTGGACGCTCGTGGCACAGGTGTGCGTCACGGCGAGTCACCATGCGAGAAATCGAAACGGGTTAGGAACGTCCTCTGCGTTCGCCGGGAAAGGATTCCGCGGCCAGCACCGACTGTCTGACCATATTTGCGTTTCGGAAATTTCGCTGATTGATGGCGACAACCCGACGGGCTTAATTGGCGTCCTGCGGATCCTTCGTTGGGGCGAGACCATGCCCGGATTGGGCGGTCACCTCCGTTTAGAACGGCGAGTCGCGGCTAGTTGGATCGAGCTCGTTCTTCTTTCACGCGTCACCAAACTTCTCTTCAGACACGGGATCTGGCTTTTGGTTAGGGCTTCTGGCTTCTGGCTAAGTCGCGTCTTGAAAATTTCGCAAGCTGGATCAGTGGGGTTGTAGCTTTCAGTTAAGGTCCAGTTTTCAATTCTCAGTTTGTATTTGTCCCACTTGTTTGGGGTAGCGAGATACAACTCGAACAATGGCTCAGGATTCAATTTTTTTTTTTCTTTTTTGAATTGTAGATAGAATTAAATTGGGTTCAGTTATATCGCGCTGATTATTATTTTCACGCGTCGTGAAACTTCTTAGATTCGAAGTTTGGAGTTTGAAGAATTATGGGTATAGAAAATCGGTTTAAATAAAATCGGAATTTTCACAAAAGGAAACAGAAACTGACGTTTTAATTGAAGGAATAATAACGTAAGTTCGGAGTTACTGCAGAAATTTAATTTAATTCGTGAATCAACTGCGACCAGACAAAGAAAACGCACTCCCAACTCCCAACTACAATTGTACTTCTCCGTTCACAATTTCGTATCTCAAAACACAATAATCCAAATCGTCTCACTTCTCGAATCTCTGGACCGTCCGTCTCCCTTCTTCTATTATCTTGCTGCCCTTCGTCCCTCACCCTCCAGCCGGCGTAACACGAACAATTAGCCGAGGAATTAATGGCCGAACGAAAGTAGGTATCCACGCACGACGATGGTACACGAACGGGAAGGAAATTTTCAGACGAATGTGAACCAGATAAAGACGGACGGACAAAGAAAGCGAAAAAGAGAGAGGGAAGGAATAGAGCCGGGGGGTTGTCCGTGTACCCAGGGGAACTTTTCGAGGATTGTGGCACTTAACGGATGATTAAGAGGGCAAATAGAGAGTCGCAGCCCCCGTTGGTTAGCGTAGTATCATCCCCTAACGTTTGAACGCTCCCTGCAGGACTGTGTCGTACGTTTAATCGAGTTACCCCCATTTCGTAATCACCCTACAGTCCCCGAGGGTTGCCATGGCGACCGCGGGCGGTCCTGAAAGCCGATTGGCGGATCTTCACGCACGCGGAAACCCCGGCCACCCCCTTGTTACCCGTAGATACGTGGCCTATCCCCCAGGATCAAGCTCGAACGCTTTCGAAAACCAACCCCCTTTTACTCCAACCCCTTGTGCCGGCTGGATTTACACTCGGTTTAACCTGACGCTCTTTCTCCTTCCACCTCTCTCTCTCTGTTTTGCACCCCCTTCTCTTCCTCGTGTTCCCTGCGTTATACTCGTCCAACCACCCCCGTCGAGCCGCTCCATCGACGCCAGTATTTTACGGAGGCGCGTTGTAAAAATCGCATAAAAGCTTCCAACAGCTTGGACGATTTATATCGGCACGATTTTCTTCCCTGCGATTTTATTCCCGGGGAGTTTATCATTCGTTGCACGGGATATTCGTATATTTGAAGTCTTGGATTTTTCGGACGGAGTTTACATTTTCAAGAGAAGAAAGGCTGAAGAGGGAAGTGAAACGAGAAGATCCTTCTTCTGCTTTTTTTTTTTTTTTTTTCTTTTATGAAAGTGAATTATCATTGATGAGAGAAATGAACGTATGTTCCAGAATTGCGTGTTCGTGTTATAAATTTTATTTATTCACGCACAGAATGGCAATTTGTTTGTCATTGTAGTACTTCCGTTTATCCAGTTAGCTTAGTCAGTTTTGGAAGTATAAAGTACAATGTTGACGCGATTCTTTCTTTCTTTCTTTCTTTTTTTTAAATTCTTAAGCAAATTAAGTAAGTGAGATTTTTTGTAAATAATTTTGTAAGTAAAATTAAAGGTATAGTAAAATTAGGAATGAAATTCATAGAAAAAATGAGTAAGTAGCGTGCAAGTCTGTTAATTTTTATGTTAGGATCACTTTGGTTATTGAAGAGTGAGATGTTTAGAACATAGAAATAAATAATTTTTCGAGAATATTGACATCGCGGCGGTTATGTAGTCTTCAACTATATAAAATTGCTGCGTTGTGTTTAAAACTTGAGCGTTAAATAACATTCTATCCTTAGTGTGTTTAGGTCCTTTGATTGGGCTTAATAAACTCAATTTATTAGCGGTAATTGAATTAATTGATGGTGACTTGATAGAACTGAAGTCACACGTTCGAAAAGGAAGTAGCTGCTTGTAGAATTTCTATTCCATCGAAGAAAATTTTTATCGTTATCTACTGCGACTAAAAATGTTTATATCAAATTTGTAAATATTTCAAATATCACGAATCGACCAAATAGAACCACAGATTCGTTAATTTAAGAATATTGAACAAATCCTGCATCAACAATTTTGTCGTGTCGAAACAATTAATCTCTGTCAAAACAGAATCACCAAACTTGAAACAAATTCAAATTCCAATACTATCAAATACTGTCAAAACTCTACTTTAACCCAAAATGATTTCAATGCCTCGAAGCATTGAAGGCCCGAATAACTCCCCAAGTTCGTTCACCCTCGTTCTCCTAAACTCTACCTAAACACTATCGAGCGAACGCTATTCTATCGATATCACATTATTTCCATTTGCAATACCGTATCCACCCCTTTGCCAGATCATTTCGATACTCTTCTCGTTCGACGTTGAACAGGGACTAATCCGGGTCTTGTCAAAACCACGTTCGATCGTATGTTAGACAAACATCCCTCACATTCCCCCCTTTCTCGTCCATCCAGCGGCCAACGTGACAATGCTGATTTCACGCGTAGATAATTCGAAAATGGAGCCCTTTTCAACCCTTTTCGCGCGAGCAGGAAGCACTAACAGGACAATGTGTATCTAACAGTCAATTCGGGGACAATGCACGTTTTCTCCGGTTCGTCGCAGCAGTCGTTTTCATCCCTTCTCTCATCCTCCCCTCTTTCTTTTTCTCCTCGACCAAGGGGTTTCGCGTCAACGACACGGGCCATTGTAACCGGATACACCCTGTTTAAGGGGTGGCTCCTTGATACACTTGGGGTGGATTATAACTAGTTGCCACTTAATTTGCCGAGACTCGAGGGGCCGACAGCCCTTCCAATGGTTGGCGTTGCCTCGAGAACGTTGAAATCGATTGGACGACGTGGTGCCGAGTGTCGAGTCGTTTATACTTCGTCGCGGTATGATTTCTGACGTATAACGACGGCTGGAAGAAAATTTCCGACGTCTCTTTTCATATCTATCTCTAACAGAAAAATAGAAAATAACCAATTACGGACGATCGTGGAACATCATGCGTTAATAATTTAACATCGTGCCTGTCTGCTTTTCAAACATTTGTCTTGACAGTCGGCAGCAACAACAATTTACAATTTTAAAAATAGGTGAGGTCACCCAACGGAATGTGGACACCCGTAGATTAAAAAGGTTTTATCCTCTTGAGACACAGCACAGTAAATTCAGTTAGAGATTAGAATCACCCACATAAATCAACGTGCAATAATAAATTACACTTATTACTAAGGTACATAATTTCAAACGCGTTAATATCAATTATATATTATTATACACGTTAATGTAAATTGCACAGTTACTAGAGTACCAAAAAAGAAAAAAAATAGTTGAAGTTACATACATTTTTATCAGTGAAATGAAAAAAATCAGAGGATATTATCAAGAAAATAAATAGTATATAAAATGCTGAGTATATTTTGAGTATATTGAATTACGAGTATTATATCTATTTTATAATTACTTAATATATTTTATATGTACATAATACTAATACTATTATGTATATTTTATATATCTGTTTTATATTACTATATTATAATATGTAATACTATATTATACTGTTATATATTATATATTTTACTATAGTATAGTATATTATTTCCTGCTACAAAATTTACTATAAGTAAACCTAAAATATTACTATAAGTAAATCTAAAATATTTACTATAAGTAAAAAATTTACTATAAGCAAACTTAAACTTTACTACCCAAAAAACTAAACTATCCAAAATTTATTATAAGTAAACCTAAAATTGTAGTATATTATTTCTTGCTATATATATACTATATTTATACTATATATAAATATTGTAGTATATTATTTCTTGCTATATATATTTATACTATATATAAAATATTGTAGTATATTATTTCTTGCTATATATATACTATATTTACACTATATATATTCTATACTGTAGTATATTATTTCTACAATATTTTAGGTTTACTTTCACCTACACTGGCAAAATTCGGACACTGAAAATTGCGGAACAATTGTGTAAACCTGTTCCCAATGTAATTCATAATATAAATACGGAGTTTATACTTACGATTTTAAATCTCACGTCCCGCCAATTTCTAAGAATATGCCGATAACGTTGCTGTTTACCGTACGAATTTAGAGGCCTATTAAATTATTCTCATAACAAGACCGCGCGTCAGTTCAACATCACGTTATTCCATACGATTCCACTACGATGGAAACAGTGATTTAAATTAACGAAGAGTGATTATTGCTGGTTGCAGGTGAAGGTCTGGTTCCAGAACCGACGGACGAAGCACAAGCGAATGCAGCAAGAGGAGGAGGCGAAGGCGCAGCAGCAGTCCGGGGGCGGCGGCGGTGGAGGCGGCGGCGGCGGTGGCGGAGGTGGCAATGCGAACAACAATTCCAACAATAAGAACACTCATCACGTGAGCAAATGGCAACAGGAGACCGGTGATTATCATCACGAGGAGGAGGAGGAAGAGGAGCACATCGATCCGGAGGCGGAGGAGTGCTCCAGCGGCTCGGAGGCGTAGCTAGACGTTCTCTGCCTGGATTAAGGTGCCAGGAATTGCGTACGAAATTTTCAACGCACGTGTTAAACCGTGATTTCGAGTGGCGACGAGAACGACGGTGAATCGAAACGTTGGAATTTCTGAGGTTCCAAGTCCGTTTTGGATCAGGTGAACGGTGAGAGAAGGCTTGATACGTTGAGGCGATTCACCGAGGGACAGAGTGACTAGAGAGGAATTATTGAGGCGAGAGTTTTGTCGCGAGTCATCCAAAGATCGTTGTGAAGTGCGGAGAAATTTCCAGTTTGGAGAAATTGGGACGATGACGGTCGGTTCCGTGGGAGGAACTGCCGACGAGATTGCAAAGGACGATGAAGCAAGTGGTGCGCGAAAGATGAGAGGCGAGACGTTTTATCATCGAGTTGCGCGTGCGACGACAGTTTTTCGAGAGTAACGCGTCACGGAAGGAGATACTATCCTTGAGGAGACGGAATTATCAAAAATTCCATAGAATATAAACAGAAGCAGAAGAAAACAGGCGAGGAGAGTGACTGAGGCTAGGAACGAAGGGATCGCACGTCCAAAACGAATGCCCAAAGATTCGCAACAGCGAACTGAAAAACGGGACAAGACGACGTGAAAAAAGGCAAAGGACACGATTAAATTCACACGTCGCTAAGAACGTCGTGATCGTAGAGTCGTGACAAAAGCTATACCCGTAGACGATGGAAGACTACGGATCTCCCTGCTGGCAAGACTGACGTAGCTACCCAGTGTACTCCCGTGTTCTCGCGTCGAAGAACGCTTTTCTCGACGAAAGAAACTCGGCTGGCCAAGAGCTCGGCGGAGCTTTGCTCTTCCGTGGAGGATCGTTGGAATTGCACGATGATATTGGCTTTCGAACGCCACTCACTCGTTCCACGGAAGCTGGATAATGGAGGCATTGTTTCCTCGGGACTTTGGTCGAGGTCCCAAATGGATTGATTTCCGGCGGAAACGTCTGAGAGAACACGCTCGATCCTTCGAACTTCTCTCTTCCCCCCTCCTGTTCTCTCGATGGAACCGCGCGGCGGCGATATCAATTTTCGTCGCCCCTGCTTTTCTGGACGTTTGTTTTCGTACACCGTGGTTCCTCGATCGATCGATTCGCGCGAAAATGAAACGGAGTTCCTCTGGAGCATTCGATCGGCGAGAAGGGGGATTTTGGATTTTCATTTGGAGTCCTAAACAGACAGATCGTCGCGTTCGCGCGCATCTTGCCATAGATCGACCGACGGCGAATCAGCCAGCTCTCGTGTATGTACATAAATAAAGATAAATATCGAGAAGAATCGTAGACTGCGATCCGTGGCGGATCGAACGGATCCTCGGCGTCTCGCGTTAGAAAAAAGAATAACGACCGGTGGGTCGGTCTTTTATTCGAGACGGGAGAACGCGTGTCTGTATGTATGCGTGCGTTAGTGAATGTGTCTCTGTAATAAGCGTGTGCGCATGTGTCTGTAAATAATTCGTTCAGTGAAAAGCACGTTCGGATCGCTTTCCCAGGAAAACGATCGGTAATGGACGAGACGGAAGATAGAGAGAGTTACGGAAACAAAGGGAGAACGAGTGCTTGTTAACTCTTTAAGGACCAACACGTCGTGTTCATGCAACATTTGGCCAATTTTGTTCGTACAAATGTAAATTTGTTGTGGAAAAAGTAGTGTAACTGGTGTCTATTGATTTCTGTCGGTGGTCCTTCGTTCGTGTAATAGAAGGTTTTTGCAAATTTCCTTCTCGACACGTTGTTGTTGTTGTTGGAAAATTAATAACGTCACGCTTTGTGAATTTTCAACTTCTTAACAGGTGCCACATATTTAAGGAAAAAGAAGAAAAGAAAATCAGTAGATCTTCAAACAAATTACCGTATAAATCGTATAATTGATTTTACAAGTTTTCTTGTGACAAACGCTTGATATTTATTTTCGACGACATTTTCTCCTTTTACACAGATCTTTCGATCTCTAACGAAATTTGAAAGTATTCAAGTATCTATTAATGTGATCAACTGATAACTATCTTTTTTTATTTTTTCAACAGAGAGGAACCTTTCTCGTATGTTACAAAATCACGTTGCATTTACGCGAATTTTAATTTTTTACACTGTTTGGTATTTAACGGGTTAACATCGCGCGAACACGGGCCTGCACATACGAAACACGTTAAAACGCATTTATTACCTTCTGTGTAATAATATATCTTTCTTTCATAAAAAAACACCTCAGTTGCAGTCTAACGTCATTGCAGTTTTCCACTTGCAATTGAAGTAGATTGTTAGAAATACAATTAAAAATTGTTCCTTAAATCGACGTAAGAGCTTGAAGATAAAAAGAAATTTGAAAATCGAGGCAGGATCCTTTGCATAATTGACATAGTCAGTGAAACAGATTGATTTGCAACCAACCACTTACATCGACGTGTGCATCGTAACATATTTCAGTACGTGTAAGCCGTGTAAAGAAGAAACGGGAGAAAATGAAGGAAAAAAAAAAAAAAAATGAGAGTGCCAAACTTCGTATCCTTTTTAGATGAGTGAAGAATCCAGTGTAAACTCGAACTTGTAACTTGCGAATTGTATTTAAACGTCGTTGTCCCACGAGCGACCAGTATTTCCCTTTATCGAATCGATGTCCGAGATGTACTGACGATTTAAATTATTATATCGATTATATTTCACGGGACAGTCGAGCGTGATAGTCTGAAAAAAACAAACAAGAAAAAAAAAAGATCGATCACGAGAAATCTTCGTTTCTTCTTCTACTTTTTTTCTATCTTTTTCTTTTCTCTGCGATCAAAAATGAAACGAAACACGTACTTTTAAATCGAAAATGAGAGTGGAATATTTTACGATATCCGATAATTGGAAATATTTCTCTGTTCAACTTTTAAATTGAAAATTTCGGAAACGTTGAAACTGTTTTACAATTTTTGATATAATTGAAAAATATTTCTCTTTTTAAACTTTTAAATTGAAAATAACGGTAAGAATGTTTTACAATTCTCGTAAACCATTGCAAAATATTTCTCTTTTCTTTTCTCGCGGTTGAAAATGCAAGAAAATTATTTCCTCTCGATGTTAGAATCAAGCCGGACGAGATTCTTCGAACGGACTCGAGCGAGATAAATCGCTGGAAAGTTTTCTACAGATCATGAGATTTCTCGGTGAACGATCGACTTTGCACGCTCGGCCGCTTCGTTTTTTGTAAATACGTTGTACATAAAAGAATTGTGATTTTACTCGACGTGCAAAAGGCGTAGGATTGTACGGTCATGCGGATGATTCAGTTCGTGTTCTAACGATATAGCGAAATAAATTATATCATCTCTTCACGACAACACGTGTGTGCGTTTCATTGACCAGCCTTTTAATCGGACAAGTTAGAAGGAACTGTTACAAGAGGAAAGAAATCTGATTCGTTCTTCGTTGAATTTCCTTCAATATCCTTCGATTGAAAAATCTACAATCATCGCACGTCCCCCGCTGAATAATTTTTCCAGCCATCTTCATTAAAAAATAATTCACCTCCTCCAAAAATTCTTCTACTGCTCTTCTTCTGAGGAATCATCATCAATTTTTCGACATTCTACAGAAAATTTGATAATGTACATCTTCCTGGATAATTGATTTCCTCCAGTCAAAAGGGAAGGAATCTCCATTGAAAAAATAACCAATAACCTTCTTTAAAAATCCTCTTACTGAAAACTCTAATTCCAATGGAGTGGAATCCAATTGAATGAATTTATGCCAAGAATTTTTACGTTTTTAGTTTATATTTTACGAAATTGTTAAAAATTGAAAAAATGTTCGATCGTCAATCCCTAGTAAATGTTGCACTAAAGATACGTACCAAGTTTCACAGTAATCGATTGATTAGATTCCGAGATATCTTGCACACCGTTTCTAAAAACCTGGTTTCGAGAAAAACGCGTTTAAAGTCTCAGAATCACGTCACTTTTCATATGTATCCTTTACTTACTTTTTTTGCTTATATATCGCGGCTTGCAGTTCTTACAATTCACAACTAAATCAAATCCAAGTCCCCTAATATTCGATTCACCAAAAGTAACATTTGAATCGCACGATTTACACTTTGTAATACTGCTTAAAGTTGCAAAGCAGCGACACAGATTCAATTATTCTGTATCCGCGTATTTATTATTATTATTTATCCCAAAATAAATCGTTTCAAAGGCTAAGACCTATTGTATCTTATTTTAAAAGATACAATAAAATACACACACATATAAAAGACTTCAAACTACTATTTAAAACAAAAATCAAAAAACAAAAAAAAAAAAAATCGATGTTTTGAAAATTTCACACTATCCTGACCGCTATTTATTTTATACCGTGCGTATTTATTATTATATCCCAAAATATAAATCGTTTCAAAGGCTAAGACCTATTGTATCTTATTTTAAGATACAATAAAATACACACACATGTAAAAGACTTCGAACTACTATTTAAAACAAAAAAACAAATTGATGTTTTGAAAATTTCACACCTCTTAAGAAGCCAAGTCTACACACGTCTTCTGTGCAATTGACTTTCTCCAAAAGAGATGCACAACGTGCTCCATTGAAATTCAATAATCTCCAACGCGTGAGCTCGAGGGGAAGCTGAAAGGAAGATAGAAAATCGAGGTTGAGACAAATCGTTTCCACGGAAGCGTTGTTTCTGCATCGTTCGCAGGCTAACGGCTCGATCCTTGTCGATAATCGCTTTATAATCGTCGTTTGGAGGACGAATAATTACGCGAGCGGCCGGCTGCCCCGTAATTAACGAAGTCTGCCCGAAACGGCGGATATGCAGAGGCGAACCATTACAAAGAGTCATTATTTTTGCTGGCGATTGCCGCCTCTACACGGGGCCGCGAGTTTCGTGAACTTCACCGGTAGCCTCTAACCTGCATTTATCGGTTGACAATATAATGGCGGCCACGTCTCCGCTCTTGTTCGTCCCGAGTGAACTCACACCGTGTTATATCGGGGTGGTGAAGCGTTTCTGAGATTTTTTAAATGTTCTCTCTCTGTATAATTTCAACTAGTTGTTGTGATATTTCTTTTGGGGGGGATAGAAGAACGTCGTTAACATTCTTGAATGTTCTTGTACTTTTACGTTGGATTGCGTTGTAATAATTTTTGATTGAATTTTTGATCGATTTTAGAGTGACGAGATATTTTTTTATATTTTCAAATATTCTTATGATCTTGGATTTTTCGTAACTTCGTTGATTACTTCTCTGAACAATCTTGGGACGAAAAAAATACTTTATTTTACGATTCTTTCTCTTTGGATTTTATTGATTTTTCTTTTTCTTTAGAGGTTTTTAAATATGTACTAGGATGTGTAAAAATTTCTTTTTTATATTTTTGAATGTTTCTTTTTTTTTTTGTATTATAGATGATAGATATTAGGCGAGAGAATAAAGACTTCTTCTAAACAGGTAATGAAAGATAGTACCCATTTAGGAATTTTTGTAGAATCTTAATTCTGTTACGTTATTTACAGTAATTTCTAGCTAATTTTAATTTTTCCTGTCGTTAAAAAAAATTTCTTAAACTTGAAAGAAATACAACAGAATCACTATCGATATGAACAACTTTTTCGACTTTTTCGTATCTTTCAACATAGCACCAACGTTAAATTCATTCACAATTAAATCCAATTATTCGTCTTAAATTCCGAATTTAAGTTAATCTCCAGAATTATTCCTCAACCTCTGGTATTGTCACGATCAAAGTTTAATTCCTCTCGATCGTTACAATAAAATAGAAAATGACAGGGCAAGCAGAACGAGGACGAAAATCGATATAAAAATAAACTGAACTCTAATATCCATTGTTACTCATTTTACGAAATACGTTCTTTATGATCAGTGAAAAATAACAAAAATAGAATAATGAGCGTTGCTAAACACGGAATCACCATCAAGTATTAATCGTTACTCTGATTGGGAATTGCTATGAATGGTGGGGGTTAACAGGGATAATGAAACGCGTTAATTGGAACGTTGACGAAGAACCGATAATTAAGTCCGGCGAGGGACAGGACGTCGATCGCCAATTAATAGATCTCGTAGTTCTATCGCTTGTCGACAGCTCGTAAGCCCGTTTTCACTGTAGAACGTCGCCACTCTCGACAGGCTCATTAATATTCGTGCGAGGCAGCTCGTTCTTAATCGATGATTACGCTGTGATCTGGCAATTAGTGCGTCGTTCGGTTTCGATCGATCCTTTTTATATCGTCGGGATTAAAATCGCGTCTCTCGGTTCTGAGGTTCTCGGGTATTTTTTTTCTTTTTTTCACCTTGTTCCAAACATAAAGTTACTGGATAGAACATGATTGAAAGTTGTTTCGTGGATGATCGTAAAGGACTCGGTAATTTGTCAAATAATAGTAGCGCAAATTGATAAAGCACAAACTTAACGTAAGCTTCTCTCTTTCTCTCTCGTGAGTTTGCAATTTTTTTTAATGGTTCGCGCAGTAATTTACTAAATGATAACAGTATTAGTAAATTACATCACAAGTCACAGTTTATGGATTCTTACCTTAGGATTTTGCAACTTTCTGTTAAATAATTGGAAGACTTGTAATTTGTAAGATGTTACTCGTTTCGTTGAAACAAAAGTAATATTGCGTGGCATAATTAATAATAGATAGTACGTTAGATAGTTCTGTAACATTGAAATCAATCCACAAGTTTATCCATAACGAACGAAATAAAATCTAAACTTGTTACTCTCAGTTTATATATAAAATTTAGACTTACTTGTCCACATTAGTTGGAAAATAATTTTTGATCGCGATATTTAAATATTTTTAATATTTAATATTTCAGTGTGAAACGATCAGTCCGAGTATTACCAAGGGACTTTAACTTTGAGTTGGAGAGCATCTTTATTCTCTACAAATTGCCTCGTAACAAAAGTAGACGATAGAACGGGCAAACTTATGGCGGTCGTGTAACCGTAACTCGCCAAGAATCAACTTTCCCCGTGAACGAACGTTCGCGCTCAATGAAACCAGTGTCTCGCCGAAGACCATTCTTCGAGATCGTCGATTATCACCACGTTACTTGGAAACCACGATACCGGGGCAGCCTCGGAAAATATCCGAACCACCTTCATCTCGAATCGGAACACTTCGCGCAATATCATCACCGTCGGTGTTCCTCTCTTTCTCTCCTGCGTGTCTCGAACAACATCTTCTCTTAACGAGCTCTACCGGCGGGTCCGCCGCCGAAAACCAGAGGAAGACGAGCGACAGTGGAGAGATAAAGACAGAAAGGAGGAAGAGAAGGCCAAGGCGGGGAGGAAAAGAGACGGAGAGTTGCGGCGTTGCGATGGAAGGGGCTCGTCGAGGGCCGCGAGTTCAGAAACTGCTAATTATGTAAATTGCCGGTGTTGCAAATTACCCTCACAGTTTGCGTTCATTCTGCACACAATCCACACGGTCCCTGCACACCTCGCACGGAATCCATCCACTCGGATACTGTTACTTCCTTCGAGAAACAGAGTCTTCCCTGGTACCGCGCCGGAGAGTAGTAAAAGTAAAGACGGAACGGAGGAATAAGAATAAGAGTAAGAAGCAAAGAGTGGAGAAGCGAGAGGACGTTGAGGACTGGGCCGAGATCCTTTCGGTAGGGATGGGATCAAGTCCAATGTCTGTGCTTATGGAATGTATGTATTTTATT